ACAGGAAAAGCCTTTTCAGAAGGCTTTTGGCTCACAACACCCCCGGAGCAAGATCTATATTTTCTTATACCTGCTCCCTGTCATTGTTGATACCTGAGATGATGCAGGACAGATAAGGCGAAAATGAATGAAGACCCTAAAATTCCCTAAGGGAACTTTAATCAAGAGCCTTGCCTCCCCCAGCAAACCGTCCACAGAGCTGTGAAGCAGCAGCACTACACAGCGGATTGATGCTGCGCTAGGTGATTTTCATGGATGCACTCTTTTCATCTTCATGACAACCCTGTGAGTTGGGGGCTGCTATTAAGCCCATTTATATACACGCAGCTGAACTGAGCACAGAGAAGTTAAGCAACTTGCCCAAAGTCACACAGCTAGTGACTGACAGCCTGGATTTGGCTCAGAATCTATACTCTCAAGCCCGACAGAATCCCACCTTTATGGAGATGACAATAACATATACTTGGGAGACATTTCTAAAATATTTGTTTGATAAATGCTAAATAACTTGATAGAGAATAGTTTATTCTACAACATAAAAAAAAAAACCCAGTGTTGGAACTGGTGGTTCCAACAACTGGGGGTAAATGTGGGGAAAGGCTGTGGGGGTTTGCTGGGCCTCCAGGCTTAGCAAATACATGCTCCTTGGATCAGAGAAAACCAAATCCTACTCACAGAAGAAAGATTCCTTGCTAGTCCCCCACCCACCTCAGGATCTGAACAGATAATCAGAGCGTGCAGACATTCAGCAGTAATCAATTAGTACCTACTTTAGATTAAATTGAGAATATGTAAATCGGGCGCCTCATCAAGGCTGCACAGAGCCAGTGATTTGAGATGCAGGCACCCCAACGACGTGCTGCAAACATACTGAGTCTGCGCGACACAGAAGGGCAAGCAAATCTCGTCCCACAGCCGAAAAATTTCTCAGACTGGGAAACCTGCTGTTCTTTACACACACATACACACTGAAACACACTGAAACGTGAGCGCGCATGTGCATGCACTTTCCTTATCCACCCTTCTCCATCTTTCCAGAGGCACATAATTTCTTATACCACCAGAAAGAGCCCTCAGTGTAAAAACGCAGTGTCAGGATCACAAACAGCAGAGCATCTTTGAGCTTGAGCCATCATTTCCCATCACCCCAATGGTCTAGAAGTTAAGCCTTGTTTTGGTGTTTGATGTTTTTATTTTTGAGAGTGCTATAAACAAAATCAGTGGCTAAATATGACTAGGGTTTCCTGGATTCATTTCCAAGTTCTCAGAAAGGGAAATGAGAGAAGGGACACCTATCAGATTTCAGAAGGTATTTCTGAGAGTCAGCCTGACGTGCAACCCAAGAGACAGACAACATACTCCAGGATCAAACAAATTAGGAAAACGGGGCCCTGGATCAGCCAGTATGGGAGGCAAAGGGGATCTAAGCAATGAGAGAAATGACTGGTGCAGAGGCTTTCAGGAGGCAGGTTCTATGCCAACCTGTCTGTGGAGGTTCCCTGCAAACACAGAAAATAAAGCCCTAACAGAGCAGGACGCCAGGGAAAATTACAGCCCACAGGCAAAGGGTATTTCCAGATTGTGGTCCCCAAACTATCCTTGGTGAGGCCCGGAAGATGGTATTTTTCTTGGGCTTCTCTCAACAGGCAAGCCATGAGTGAGAAAGACACTGACTGCCAGCCATGCAGTATGGCATTGAGCCTACAGAGTGACAACTAAGGGCCTTGAAGCGTGGTTGTGAGGCCTGAGGGTTGAAGAAAACTATCTGAGGAGGCCCACAAGATTTCTTCTTGTCCATTCGGAGCCCACAGGTAGGAGGCGCATTCGGACTGGAGCTGTGATTCTCACCTGGTCGGAAAGCTGAAATCATTACACCATCTGAATTTTCCCTACTGCCTCCTTCAGAATGCTAGGGGCATACAGTTATTTTTCTTTTTAACTTAAATGAATTTAAGAGAAAAATGGCTTTGAGGAAAATCCTGAGCTATTCCTTGATAGCAAATAACCAACAAGTATTATTTGGCACCTCCCAGATGCTAGGCCCAGTACTAGACATGAAAGTAAAGATATGTGAAAACTATACATATATATTTCATAATAAAGATATGAAAAATCATCCTTGGTTAATTTGTATTCCAATTCAAAAGGCAGACATGAGTTCAAGAAATGATCAGAAAATAACAAAAAGTAAGGGAGGGGGCAGAGATCAGAAATGGTGGAGAGCTGGTTGTTTGGGGATCCTTAGAGCAGAGTTCAAAGAGGAGGCAAGTTGTCCCTAACCTTTGGGAAGAAGAATCTGAATTAAGGGGAAAGCGCAGAGAGGGAGGATACTCCCATGACAGAACGGACAAGAAGAGAATACTAATGAGACTTACTCCCTGTTCATGCTGAGGATGGTGGATTATAAAAATGCTTACAAATTATTTGCCTCTCTGCGTTCACTTCCCTGCAATGTGACATTGCAGCTCCTCCCATCAAAAGATGGGGTCTATTTCCCTTCTCCTTCAATCTACGTGACTGGCTTTAGCCAATGGGCTCATTAATAAATGAGACATAGGCAGAGGTTAAAAAAGGACTTACCCCTTGGGGCTTGTCCTCTTGCCGTGCTTGGGATCATTAGAACACCATGTGAATGAGCTTGAACTAACCTACTGGAGAGGCTACATGGAGGAGAACTGGGGCACCGTAGCCAACAGTCTGCCACCTCCAGACTTAAAAGGGAGATTATTCTTGATCATCCAAACTCCAGTCAACTCACCAACTGACCCCAGATGCATGAGCAAGCCCAGCAGAGACCAGTCAAACCACTTCAGACCAGAAGCCATACCTAGCCAACCCACAGAATCAAGAGCTAAATAAAATAGGTACTGTTTTAAATCACTAAATTTCGGAATGGCTTGTTATACAACTAAAGCTGAAACACTGGGGAATAGCCAAGTTTGTATGTAGGATAAATTGATTTGAAAGGGACTAAAATAAATTGGGTGGTCAAGATAAATGGAGGTCCTGAACATCAGGAGGAGCAAAAGGCAATCAAGAGCCCACAGAGGTTCTCTGGCAGAGGGATACTTTGATGAGAGCAGTATTTTAAGAAGAAATGAAGGATAGATTGAAAAGGTAGAGCTTAGAGTGGAGAAGCCCAGCTTGAAGGTGATCAGAGCTTGGATAAGCGAGGATCTAAAATCTCAAGGGTATTTCAGAGGAAGGAATAGAAAGTCATTAAGACAGATCAGCTATAAAGTAGCAAAGGATGACTTCAGAGATGCCTCCAAAGTTTATCTTTTTGAAACCTGGAAGAATAATAGTTTCAAGATACAGAAAGGAAAGTTGGGAAGGGCAGGCAAATCATGTGTGATTCAGTCAGAAATTTCATGGCTGCCAAAAAATTGTTAGGACTCACTTAGAATTGTAACTTGTTGGAAGATTCAGGGTATCCTTCAGAATGCAAGGGGAAGTTGACCACCCAAGCCTTAGAAAGGGCAAGAAAGAGGCTAAGCTTGGAGATCTCAATAGCCAGATTTTATGGCTCTTCACTCCACTGAGCAATTCCAGGATGCTCTTGTTCTCAATTGAGTTCAAATTCTTGAGAGTGAGGATCTGACGGCTGTGGACCACCCAACAGATGAGCTCCTGGGTCAGGTGTTTATGGGTCCTGATCCAGTCAGCTGTGGAGGAGGATGAGAATGATAAGTATATAGGACGTACTTTCCAGAGCTGTAAAGAGGCAGATGAGGGGTAGGGAGGAAATGATGAGCACCTTCAGAAAATAGGAGAGGATAATGGACTGGGGTTTGGGCACACTGAATTGGGAGTGAAAGTAGGAACTCCAAATGTGGATATCCTGCTGAAAGTTTGAAACATAGGGCTAAATAGTTGGGCCTAGGTTTCAGATTTGAGTGACACTAGCCTATAAGTGAAGGTGGACACCAGCAAATGATGAATAATTCATCTTCAAAGAGGATAGTAAAAGAAGACCCTAGGACGGAGGCCAGGAGTCAAGGGCAATGCCTGTAGATGTGAAAGGAGAAAGGGGACCCACTAAAAGAGCAAGAGCAGAGCGAAAGCCTCAGAGAAAAGCGGTATGGATGTCAAAGCAGGGGAGACTGGTCAACTCTGTCTAATGAAATGGGGTCAAGGAAACTGAAGACCACAAAAAATGAATCCTATGTATGTTTAGGTGACCGTTGGTGACTTTTAGGAGAATAAAATAGAGGATAATGGTTTTCCCCTTTCCCTCAAGAGAAGGCAAGAAGTAAAACTATGGGAGGAATCTACAATGAAACTCATACCAGTTGGTTTGGCACCATACGAAAAGCAAATAGGCTGATTTTCTCTGAGTGTAAGGATGGGGAGGGAAAGAATTGGAGGCATCTTCAAATGTCTATAAATCAGCCTTAGGAATGTCTTCTTTTAAGGAAAATAGTACCCAAACTCAAAGACTATACAAAGAGATTCTAGCTTTCCATATATCACCCATGGAGGTGTCACCCTACAATTCTGGAACCATTGTCAAAAAGACTGGCTGAGACATGTGTGATTTGTAGAATCTAAGTTTCTGTGAAACATTTAGTCAAGCAGTTTGGTAACAGTCGAGTCAGTGGACATGCCCTTATTGCTCACGGGGATGCCCCTGGGGCTTCCTTCACTGCAGTTAATTTCTAGGACATGGCGCCACAAAATATTAGCATGTCCCTTCATGTTAATGGCAAATGGCAAGAGGCTCTCATAATTTAGATATTTTTATGGCTGTTCTGAGGAAGCTAATTTTGTCTAACAAAACCCCATTAAGTTTTAGCTCTATCCTTTTCCCTTCCTCCAACTCCCAGAACTGGGACTTATATGTTAATTGCAACCAGTCTATGCTAATTAGGTTTCATGTCTGTTTCTTAAAGAGACAGATGCCACTGGGCCCTGCCCTAGTCATCACTCCCTCCCATCTCCATAGCCAGCTTTTCAGAGGTTAAACTCCAGACTGAGTAAAGAATTCACGTAAGACTCACACTTGAAGTTGGAAGGCAGAGGGGTCCGTGTTTCCATATTCCTCACAACTTCCTTTGAAGACGAAATGCTTCTTTTCCATGAAATTCTATGCGTAGCATTTCTAATTGAGAAACAAATCAAAACACTATTAGATTCCTTAACTACACACAAAACTCAACAAAATACCCCCAAGGCCTACTATAACCATTGCTTTGAACAGAACACCCTCAATCCTGAAGCTTTCATCTGCTGTGACAAGCTCAGGCTCATCACTAAAGGCTGAATAAGGATTTGCGAGAACTGCTCAAGCAAAAGAGCAACTTTCTATATTAATGCTTGATTCTATTCATTGAATGAGTGCTTTAAAGGAGCCCAATTAGGCATTAGAGAGGATAAAAAGATGGGTAAGACAAAGATCCTACTCCAAAAAAGTCTCCAGTCTAGTGGGAAGACATAATAACACTATTAGTTAAGTTACCTACTATTTATCAAACACTACTATGAGTTCAGTTTACATACATTATCACATTTTAATCGTCACGAAAATAAAATGAAGTAGATATTTATCTGTCCATGATACAGATGGGAAAATTGAGGTTTAGAGAGGCATAATATATCAGTTACCTAGGACCACAAATAATGCTGTTCAACCAACCACCACAAAACACAGTGGCATACCATAATAAGCCTTATTTTGATTGAGCATGGGTCTGTGGGTCTGCCTGGGAAGCTCTGCTTCAAGATGTGTGTCATCCTGGCTTGGCTGCAGGTTGAGTTCAAGTCTGTTCCTGTGTATTTCATTCCCTTTGGACCCAACAGCTAACCTGGGGTATGTTCTGCTCATGGGATGGTAGAATCACAAGGAGACAACTAGAAACACACAATAGGCTCAGAACTCACACACTGTTTCCCTCATATTCTATTAACCAATTCAAGCCACATTGCAGAACTAACATCAGTGGTCAGGTAAGTATTTTATGCTCAACCAAGTAAGAGAAACTGCAAAGTCACACAGAAAAGGCTGTGTGTGTGTAATTCTAACAAAGGGAGGTTGCAAAAAACAAAAAACAGTGATCAAATCTGCACACACAGATCAAAAGTGGTAGAACTGGGCTTCAAACTCAGAGTGATCAGGCTCTAAAGCCCATCCTTCAAATCGTTCTGTTGCATGCAAACATCTAACAATAATAAAGTCAGGCAGCGGCAAATGAATAGTAATGACATATTCTGATTAGGGGATTGGATCAGGCTTCCCAGAGAAGATACCTAGGCGTGAAGATGAAGAGGATTTTTGATAGGCAGAGACAAAGGTTAGGGCATTGCTGCTGGAGGAAACAGCATGAGGAGGGATGGAAGGACATGATGTGATCACGAGACTGGAGTATAGAGTTCCCGGGGTGAGAGGGAGTGGTGAGAGCTGCGGATGGGAAGTTAGGATGCGATCAGAATGGAGTTCTGAGCAGGATGTGACAGGATCAGATGTGGAATCTCTTGAGCCAGCTCTTCTCAAACTTTATCGAACATCTGAATCCCCTGGGGGATCCTGTTAAAATTCAGATTCTGATTCAGGAAGTCTTGGGTGGGGGGCCTGAGATTCTGCATTTCTAACAAGCTCTCTGGTGATGGCAATGCTGCTATTTCACACTCTGAGTTGCAAGGCTCTGAGCAAACAGCCTGCTAGCCATTCAAGGTCAGGGATTATGTTTTCCCTCTCTTTGTTTCCACACAATGTCTCACACGTTAGCTTATACATAACAGACCCACCAGCAGGGTTGGAAGTTGCTGCTGCTGCTCCTGCCTTCCCTTCCTTCTAATCAGCTTCCTCCCCCTCCCCCAAGGCTTCCCCACTCTGCAGTAAAAAGTCAAGGCTCTCCAACACCAACTGCATTAGCTACCCGCATACCTATGCTCTAGCCCATTTTCTCTTTAGAAAGGGAGAAAAACAAAGTGCTGCAAAAAGCCACCTTATATTACTGGAGGTCTATGCAGATTCATTAGAGCTTTGGGGAAGCCATCAGAAGTTGATTGTGCTTGAAGGGGTTGCTCGTCTCCTCCCATTTCCTAATTTGATTTCACGGCTCTGCAACGAAGTCAGAATTAGAGCCACATTAAAGTCGGGAAGAGACAGAAAAAACTCCACCACCTATCAAGTTCTGAAACTTGCAAAGTGCCTTCTCCCAGTCTCCCCAAGGAATTACTCATTTTACTAGGATGAAGGTGACCTCAAGAGGGACCCTGGGCTGAAAAATCATGGCTTTTGTGGTTATTCACACAGCAGAGAGAGGGTGGATGACAGAGAAGTCTCATGTTTGTGGATAATGGATCTGGAAAAAGGAGGGAGTGGAATTCTGGAAGTCCTACTTCGGTTAGGAATAGGTGGCTTTTGCAGTCACCACGTGTATGGCACTGGGGCTCATGCCTCAGGATGTCCTGACCCAACTGCCTGTCCTTGAACTTATGGATGTTTTTGAGTTTAATGCTCACAGAGTCTTTCCTTTAAATTAAGACAACATTCAGGTGCCCATCGCAGATGTTGCTGATGGACACTCACTCCTATGGATGTAGGTGTTTACAGTGAATGAATACCTGCTAAGGATTCTGGCCCTGGGAGCATGTTTGGGACTCTAAGAAGGCAAACTGGAATTTACACCCTAGGAAGCAGCCCTTAACCAATGAGTTGTGGATGCATATACACCGGCTTCCTCATCTCTTGGTTGGGATAACTCTAGGGCATATTCTGCTATTGCCCCCAGAGGTCCCCAGCTGGATTGAGCTCCAATGGGGAGCCCACAGAGGTCACTTGCTCAATAACACACTTTGGGGTTTCTTTCCCCACATCACTTCTTCATTCCTCTAATCAGGGTTTCCTAGGATTTACTTTTAAATAAACTCCTTGCACTGAAATCTTTGTCTTAGGATCTGCTTCTGGGAGGACCTAAGCTAAACAGTGCCCTAAACTTCCTCCGTTAAAATGTCACCACTCCAGGGTGGCAAGGATTCAGGGGTTCAGGAATGAGTGGGGCTTTATAAGTGAACATGCGATGAGTGAAATGTGGGAGATGACCTCAGGATAATTTCCTGAACAAGGATGGGAGTTGGGGGGGGGTGTTGGGGGATGTGGTAACTAGGTGCAGGAGGTGCAGCACGAGTCGCTGATTGTCAAGTGGAAAAGTGCCAGCTCCTGTGTCATCACAGCTCTGCTTGGAGCTTATCCTATTCTTGGGTTTTCATTGCAAAAAGGGACAGATTAATGGGTCCCCTTAAAACAGAGGGTCTGAGTTTTGTCTCGCCTCTTCCTGGGCATATATCCTGGTCATTTTGTTTTCAAAACTATGATGTCCTTGGACGTAACTGGAGATACTAACACCCATTGAACCGAGCTGCTGTGAGCTTGGGGTAGAGAACCCTCAGGTTCTGCTGGTCTGGGTACAAACCTCAGTTTTGCCTTTTACTTGCTGGCTGACCTTGCACCAGTTACCCAACATCTCTGAGACCGTGTCTTTATTAAATTGAGAAATAACATTAATTTGAATCACATGACACTGCCTATATTTAATATTCTGAGCTACAGAAACCGCAATTTCTTGTGGTTCAACCTAAGACCTAACTTAGTGCGCTGACATGCACATCGTAGGCACCCAATGTACCATTATAGCTGCTATGGCTATTATTATTCAGATAACATCTTACAAAGATTATGCTGTAAAAAATGTAAAACTCTACTCAGATTTTGACTAAATACTGACAAGAAAATCCCACTGCTCAAGGACCCTATTCACCTGTCTTAACACCAACCAAGACCAAAACAAAGCAACAGTCACTGGACATCCAGATGCTGGGAGAACATACCAGGCTTTGCATGTTTCCGAGCTCCCTGTAGAACACAATTTTTTTTTTTGTTTGTATTTCCAAACGTCATAATGAAACCATTGTGAATAAAAGAATAAGAGGTGATTTCAGCTTCCATCTTTTGTGAGGCTCAGGTCTAAAAAATAAAGAAGGGCCCAGCAAAATTAACTTTATCATTTTAAGAAACAACCATTGAAACAGCCGCTGTGAATATATTCATTATTATACAATGCCGAGCGCTGTGCACCAGTGCGCGCGGCATCTGTCTGCTCACTAATTCTCCCGTTATTATTACCCGCTGAAAGGGCAGGCGGGAGAGAAATCCAGGCAATCTTGCTCAGCAGAGGTTTGCAGTTTCACCGAGCACTCAAAACTCCCCCAAACGTGCTCCTTGAGCATTTGGCTTGCTAATCTTGTTGACATGACAGAAAAAAAAATCGAAAATAGCTAATGGCCTTAATTTTCTTATACCTGACAGCTAACCGATTCATCCCATCCCAGTTACTCATCTGATTTCCCCACTTCTCTCTCTCTCACACACACACACACGTGCACACACACACACCACACACACTCGTTTTCCAAACCAGCTGTGTATGTGTGCGTGTGCGTGTGGTGTGTGTGTGTGTGTGAGAGAGAGAGAGAGAGAGAGAGAGAGAGAGAGTGATGGGGCTTAATTTTATTTCTTTGCCTATCAGGAAAGTCACAAATCACAGATGCAAAGAGGCTACTCAGATGGCAAGCTGGGAGGGACAAACAGAATGGTCTCATCCAAGTCCTCTGGCAACTAGGCCTAGTCAGGACAGCATGTGGTATAGATCACTCAAGGTGACCACTGGGAATAAGACAGAGAAATAGCAGAGTCAGGCCTGCGAGGCAGATCTGGTGAGTGGTAGGCTGTGGGACTTGGTGGTGACAGCTACCCTTGCAGACTGTTTCCAGGAAAATGAGAAGCCCAGGGAAGGCAGAGCGTTCTGGGAAGGGCACCAGGTAGTGGGCAGTGGCAGGATCCAGGATCACAGGGAGCCCCTAGAAAGGAATTTGGTGAAAAGGCATCTAGAATGTGTGGCTTCTCTTTCCTTCCCCTCCCCTGGTTCCTGTTGTTGGTTTAAACTCTTTCAACTGGACCCAGGGCTGTACTTGTAAACATGAAAAGTACAAGAGCAGCACTGCTGTAGCTGCGCCAAATGAAGTTGAACTACCCTTTGTGTGCACGCGCGTGTGTTCATGTGCGTGCTTGTGTGCGCGCTTGTGTGTGTGTGTGTGTGTGTG